AAAAAAAATGAGCAATATTCATTTCCAGTAACAATTACAGGATATAATGGTGTACAATATAAAAACTCCAGTAAGTTATACAGGACACTAAATATTAAATTATTTAATTCCAGCAAATTGTTCTGGATACCAAGTTTCCACTATTTTCCACTTCTTCATTATTATATTCTGTATTATATTCCTTCATGAGTAGCGATTCCAGCATGTACTATAGGAGGTAATAAAAATTGGATGAATATAGGATAAAAAAATCTGCATTATTCCATTCCAGTAGTAATTACAGGATATAGTGGTTTTACAATATAACACTCCAGCAAATTATACAGGAAACTAAAAATTAAATTATTTAATTCAAGCAAATTGTTCTAATTACCAAATTTCCACTATTTTCCACTTCTCCATTATAATATACTGGATTATATTCCTTCATGAGTAGCGATTCCAGCATATACTATAGCAAGTAATAAAAATTGGATGAATATAGGATAAAAAAATCAGCAATATTCATTTCCAGTAATAATTACAGGATATAGTGGTTTTACAATATAAAACTCTAGTAAATTATAGAGGACACTAAGTATTAAATACAGAATACAGATGCTAGTTTTCCAGTATAATATACTGGACAACAAGCTTAAACACGGTAGAATTCCTGTAAAATATACAGGAATCAAACAAGACTCAACCATAATATTATATACAGGACACTAAATATTAAATTCATTAATTCCAGTAAATTGTTCTAATTACATAATTTCCACTATTTTCCACTTCTCCATTATAATATACTGGATTATATTCGTTCCGGTATATTGTTCAAATTATACTAACATCGAAATTTGGAGTATTGACATCCAGTATTAAATACAGGACATAGTGGTTTTACACTAAAAATCTCCAGTGTAATTACAGTTAATTACTAGACACAAAATATTAAATTATGTAATTACGGTTAATTATTCTAGACACCAAATTTCCACTATTTTGCACTTCTTCATTATAATATAATGGTTTGTATCCCTTCATAAAAAAAGTTTCAAAAATATTATAGTCTTTAATTCTATCATAATATATAGCATAATAATCTGCATTTCAATCAAAAGTATGTAGTCAATTACTGAAAAGAACAAAAAATTATTTCTTGTTCTTAATCTTGCGCCTTTCTGAAACAAGGTTTATCTAGTTTTCCTGTAGACTCATCTTCACTAACAAGAGATTCCAACTGCTTCTTTTTACCATAAATGTATAGTAATGCTGCATTTGATTTTTCATATCCAGTATTAAATACGGCGTTTACTGCTTTAACAATATATTACTCCAGTGTAACATACAGGAAACAAAAATTGGATGAATATAGGATAAAAAAATCTGCATTATTCTATTCCAGTGTAGACTCATCTTCACTAACAAGAGATTCCAACTGCTTCTTTTTACCATAAATGTATAGTAATGTTGCATATCTTAATCGAAGACGTGTAGGATCAAACATGTTCTTGTCATCTGGTAACTCCTTGCCTTCAATGAAATACTCCGCAAATGCAGAACAATATATACCACAATCACTACAATAAAACACATATTAAGAAAGAATAAGATAAAACAATAAACGATAAATAGCTGAAGTAATATAAAGAAGCAGGATAAACATAGCAAAACACTTACGCTTTTTCCTGTTGAGGCAAGTTATCCACTGAAATAATAGCAAATGGATTACTTAGCTCCTCTTTTTCCAAAAAATGTGGTTTATCCATTGTAATGTCACTTCTTTGCTGATAAAATGTAGTAGTGTTGAGCAACAATGGTATCATTACAGCAAATGAGTTCAAAGCTTTATGAACTACAGCATCATGTCTTGAGGATCTTATTGAGTCATATATATATATGCACCCAGTATGCAAAGATAGAATACCCAACACCCAATGCCATGCCTCTTTTACATTGATTGGCATAAGAACATAATCCACGGAAACCCAGGGGGTGTTACCAAGAATGTAAAACCCAAGAACATACTCTCTTAACTTCTTTGTCAAATCAAAAATCTCATTTTGTACCTTTATGTCATGCATATTCGATTTACTGTACACTTCTTGAATGATAGTACTGAAATAATTGTCTGTAGTTGTCATCCTTATGTTTTCATATTTTGCTTTCTTCCGGAGGTAATAGAATATAACATCAATATGCTTCAAAAAGAAAACAGATATCAATCGAATATACAGAAACATATTTATTCTAAAACAAAACAAAAAAAGTAATGTATGTTCACATACCGTTTCATTGATTCCTATACCAGTATAATGAAGTTCAAAAAACCATGTCTTATTAGCTATAAATTCAACTCCAAGATCAAACTCTTCCTCCAGTATATCATCCTTCTCTTCATACCCCTTCTTCCTAAAAAGTTTAATAAATATATAAATAGAATAGTCCAAACTATCATTCCAAAGAAACTTCAATCAAAACATATGTTAAATATATGTAAATTTACCTCTTAGTTAGGATCAAGTTTGTCTCAACAAACTTACTGAATTCATCTCTAATTGATAGAGGAATTTCTTCAGTAATTGATATTTTAAAAGGGTTATCACCTTTCACAATTACACGAGGTACAAGAGTGTTTTTCATTTTTGTTGCATCTTCTCCAGGAGAGTTGTCCAAAATCTCATAAGCTTCGAAACCTTCAAAACTTGAATGATTGGGCAAGGAAGAAGTGGTAGCATCTTCATGTGTAGAACCTTTTGAAATAGTTGTTTTTATAGGAAGAACACCTATGGACTCATTAACAAACTCAGAAGTTATTTTATGAATCTGACAATCAATTTGAGTGTCAGTCATCTCAATTTCATGATATGGAATCATCATAGATGATGATTTTTTATCAACATCTGAAGCTGGAATATCTTCATTTCTTGTTTGCTTACAAAGCTCAGCTGTTAATTTATGAGTCTCTAAATCACACATTTCCAACCATTTTTCATCATCTGGATTTCCAATATCAACAAAACCAGATGCTACATAAAAAATACATTAATATGTCAGAAAAAATATAAATAAATTTTTTTCAATATATATAGCATTACGTTTCAATACCAGAAATCCCTTCCTTTATCATTGCTAAATTAAAATCTTCTAAGTTTTCATGTTTTTTGATAATATTAAAATTTTCTGCATTGTCAAAGCTTTGTGCGACTTGGGGGCATACATTAACTAGATTCCATATTATGTGTTTAAAATTTTGATGATTGCGTAACATAGTTGTCCTGTATATTATACTGGATTGAAACAAAACTCAACTATATGCTAGTGTGTCTTACCTTGTTCTTCTGTATGTTATACTGGATTAGTTATGTCATATGCACCTGAGGCCCCTCAAGAGTCCAATCAATTATAACAATGCATCCAAATAACATCCAAATAACAGTATATTTTATACTATACCTTGTTTGATTTACTATCACCTTCTACATCTTTTTTTACATCTCCATTGTGGTGATGCTGCAGAAAAAAGTTAAAATAAAATGATATTAGATGTAAAACAACCAAAAGAAAAAAGAAAAAAGAAAAAAAAAACAAACAATAAGTACTAGTATACCTCTAACGTGCTCTTCTTCATTGAATTAATTACATTGAACAGCTCAACAAATTTCCCATCAAGATAATTTTTTAAAACCACAAGTTCTTCCTTGTATTCCTTCTTCAATAATGATACTTCTTTCCTCAATTCATCTTGGCCATCTTGCAAAATCTTAAATTGAGTATACCACTCACTATGTTTCGTTGACGGGTCAACACAAGCTTCACCTATACCTTGATTTTGGTTATGAATATTCTCCACCACCTTTCCACTTTTTTTATTTGCTGCCGTAACGTTAATACTATTAGAGACATTGTCCATCATTTGCTTCTCCAAATCATTAGCACCAATACTTTTCATTTTTGATGTTTCATTAACATCTTTCCTCTGTTTCTTCAAATTATTAACATCTTTCCCCTTCTTCTCCAAAACATTAGACAATGTCCCTTTCCTTTTAGCATTCTCATTAATCATCATTTTGCACTGTTTTTTTAAAGTCTCAGGTGGACGATCAACAAAATCATCATCTGAAGTAACGTGTATCTGATCAACATTATCCTCAATTTTATTCTCAAGAGACATATTCCTTAAATTCAACTACATATATACAATTTACTAAATTTTAGTAAAATAATTATATATAGCAAAAGTAAGTCTTAATACATGAGAAACACAAAAAAATAATTATATTACCTTCTCAGATGGCAAGCCATATAGCTTATCGTTTAACTCTTCAAATTTCAGCTGTCGTGTAACACTCCACCGAAGAATTGGTGGAGATATATTTTCACGCCTACAAGCAACATAACTATCCAAATTTTCAAAACATTCGTAGAACCATACTTGAACAACATAAGGGAATCCTGAAAGCCAATAATACTATCGTTGCTTATCCAAAATACCTGAAATTGTTCTCACTGTTTCGTCATATATATCTATTCCCCATGGATAACTATTGTAATCACCCTTGTCAACCAAGTCCAAGTACTTCTTATCAATATGTTTGGTGTTCTTAATAGAAAAAAGGAATGAATATACAACAAATAGCACTGCTATCTTAATAGCATCTTCATCAGAGTCAAATGTTTTTGTAAGAAAACAATCCACAAGGTGTTCTTTAGAAACAGTAGGGTAATCCTTAAAGTACTTTGCAATTGAACCATTTTTGTTTTGCCTAACTTCACTACAAAGCTGTACGTCACGGGTACATTTAAATCCAGTTACAAAAGCAAACTCTGCCAATCCAAAACGTAGCTTTACCCCATTGACAAGAAACACCATTTGATTCGCTTTCCCTTTTTCTACCTCCTTGGTTAACAAATAATATATTAACTGTGCTTGCAGTTTTATACTAGGCAAATTCAACAAATAGCCAAAACAAGTTGACTTAAAGAGTTCAAGTTGCGTTGTTGATAATTTTGTTTTCAAATTGCTAACAATCTCAGAATTAAAGTTATTGCCAAGTATTGGTCTATCACTTGCATTGAGCTGCAATACAATACAGATACATATATAAGTATATTACATGGTAAACATTATACAGAGCATGTATAAATAAAATAATGTGTAATATATTTTACCTTCAAAAATGATTTGGAATTTCTTCTCGTATGAGTACTTGATTCAGAATCATTCCTCTTTTTTGTAGGCTTTATATTATTTTGAGAAACATCAACTACTGGTTCCTTAATACTTTTGGAATCACTAATTTCGCATTCCTTAGACCTTTGAGAACGCGTTATTCTAATACTAGCTGACCCAGAGGTATTCGAAGCTGATCTAGAGGTATTTCGTGCTCTAGCCCTTTGTGAACGAGTCTGTTCTAAACTAGCAACTTCTGCCATTGTAAGAGAATAATTTTCGTTCTCTATAACAAAATCAGAAAAATCAGATGACACTGAGATTGGATGAAAAGGTTTTTTACGCTTGAGTGAGTGCTTTGTACCCATAAAATCAAGTGTTCGAAATTAAGCTTGACATTTCAAAAATTAAACCTCGAGAACAAGCGACTAAACCCTGGAAATTGGAGATACGATTTAGTAGCGCGTCGTTTAGAACCTAATTTTCTTGGAATATGCGCTCTGAACCTGTCAAAATCAAACAGACCTAATACCTTTTATATACAGGAAACTAAATATTAAATTATTTAATTCCAGTAAATTATTTTAATTACCGAGTTTCCACTATTTTCCAATTATCAAATCATTAGCACCAATACTTTTCATTTTTGATGTTTCATTAACATCTTTCCTCTGTTTCTTCAAATTATTAACATCTTTCCCCTTCTTCTCCAAAACATTAGACGGTATCCCTTTCCTTTTAGCATTCTCATTAATCATCATTTTGCACTGTCTTTTTAAAGTCTCAAGTGGACGATCAACAA